CAATTGTGTACCAGTCTGGGCCGTCTTTGGTGCGCATGCGGCCGAGTTGGGGCCGCCTGCGGGCTTCATTGGGCTGTCATGGGGCCTTTCTGGCTCGTCGGGAGACCCTCTGGGCCCTCTCGGACCGTTTTGGGCCCCTCGTCGGCTGCTTCGGGGGCCCTCTCGGGGCTTTCCGGGGCCGTCTGCTGGGGACCTTGGGCCATCGTGGAGCGATTTCAGAACTATTTCGAGTCCGTTGTGGACGCTCGAAGGACAGAACAAGCGAGCGTGCCAAAGTCGTAGAAAAACCTTCTGGGTAACCGCATCTCTTTGCTTTTTGGAAGGCTGTCGGGGGTCCTCCTGGGGCCCAGGAGGGCCGTCTTGAGAGCCTCCTGGGCCATCTCGAGGCCGTCTTTGGCGCCCTGTCGGATCGTCGCTGGCCCGCCCTCTTCGCCCCAGCGCCCCCTGCTCCTCCTGCTCCTCCTGAGTCGTGGTTTCCTCGGACCCTGGTTCGTGTTCTCCTTTTCTCGTTTTCTCGGCCCTGGGTCGTGGGTCGTTTTCGCGTTTTCTCATTTCCTCGGCTCCTGGGTCGTGGTCTCGTTTTCTCGGGGCCTGGTTCGTTTTCTCGTTTTTTTTGTTTTCTAGGCCCCTGGGTCGTGGTTTCGTTCTCTCTGTTCCGGCTCGTTTTTTCGTGTTCTTGTTTTCTCGGCCCCTGGTTCGTAGTCTCGTTTTCTCGGGCCCTGATTCCGTTTATCGTGTATATGTTGTTTGGGTATCCGAAGATGTCGAAGACTGCACCTCGGGGCCTCACCTTCCCTTGAAACCTCCGCCCTATGTCGTACAGATGTATTTGTGTCGGCCGACACAGGCGACTAAGTCTCCAAGTGTTGAGAAACAAGTACCAGTGTGATCGTCCCAGATGGCATGGAATCGATGTGCCCAAGCTTATTGAATCTCTACGCTCTGCTGAAACTTCTTCTGAAGCGTGCTCTGCATCAACCTCTTTGTGCAGCTCAAGCCGAGGAGTATACGATGGAGCGGGCGCGGTGAGACCGATGCTCGGGACAACGTCAGGTAGGACGAACCGGTGCGTGGGAAGATGCACAAGCGCCTACTTTCTTGAGTCTCCCTCCTCCTCCTCCTCCTCCTCCTCCTCCTCCTCCTCCTCCTCCTCCTCCTGCTCCTCCTCCTCCTCTCCATTCAGCAACTCTCTCGGGCTGTCTTGGCGCCTTTTTGGGGCCGTCTCGGGCGCATTTCTGGGCCGAGGGGGGAGGGGAGGTGGCGCGATCGGGCTACAGGCGGTATAGGCAGATCTGGTGCGCCCCGCCAGGGAGGCTGGGGGGGGGGGGCAGCGACACTGGATTTACAGTCGAGCGTCCGATTGAGAAGAGCTGGGTCAGCGGTTCTCGACCAGCTTGCCGGAAAGTTGGCCCGGTTTCTTGGGCAAGTCCGTCCCCCAGCGTTAGCACCAGAAGTTGGCCCAAGCTTACTTTCAGACGCTCACGGGAAGCTGGCCCAGATGTCCTGTGTAATGATGGCAATAACAATAAGTTTGATCGCATCTTCGGTTGTACACAGCATGTATGTATCGCATGTTCGTAGTGTACGCATTGTGGGGGTTGTCTGGGAGGCTACGCCCAGAAACCAGCCCTTGAAGACCGCACAGACAAGAAGGCCAAAATGATCGAATGATATTGGTTTTGTTGAATGATTCCTCTCGCTTCGCGGGGGGTAAGTCCAGAGCACATACAGTCAAGTCGTTGTGGGGCCTCCTGGGAGCGTGTTGGGGGCCTTTTGGGTGCCTCTTGGGGGCCTCTCGGAGCTGCCTCGGGACTCTCTTGGGGCCTTCCTGGGCCGTCTTGGGGGCCGGGCCGTCTTGGGGCTCTCACTTGGGGACCTTGGGCCTTTGTGGCGCCATTTTGGAGGGTGCCTGGGCCGTCACGGGCCCCCGAGATCCCAGAAAGGCGAAAACTCACAAATCGCTCAAAAGCCATAGGAAAAGCCATGCGTTTGGTTTCTGGAGGTACGAGACTCATAGGCCAAAATCTATAATTTGGTTCGGGGTGTTGTACGTGTTTAGGCCCCAGAAGGAGGTCGTCACATTAGGTCGACGGATGTGGCGTGGCGCCACGGGCGAGCACGTAATAATAATAATAATAGTAGTAATAATCATAGTGGTAGTAGCAATAATGAGACTAATGGTATTACAATTAATAAGAATATACGAATAATGATAATAGTAGTAGTAGCGAAAATATGATGATGTACTCTAAAACTCTTAATAGTATTCACAAAACTAATAATAAAGATAGCTGCAATAATAATACGAATAGTCGTAGGTCTACGAATACAACCATATACACATACAAGTGGCACGCGTGGCATGGGTCTTGCACATCAAGGAGGAAGAAGAGGAGGTGGAGGAGGAGGAGGAAGAGGAGGAGGAGGAGGAGGGGAGAGGGAGGACGAGAAAAAGGAGAAAGAGGAGGAAGAGGGGGGGCAGAATGAGGGGCTCAAGAGGGGGAAGCACGTGGCGACGGAGAAGAAGGAGGGCACGGGAGACGGAGGACGAGGAGAGAGAATGATTGAGGGAGGACGAGGAGGGAGCAGGACGACAACCAAAGGAGAGCGCCGCGAGCAGGGAAGGGAGTAAGTAGACGAGGAGGGGAAATAAGGTGAGGGAGCAGAAGCAGTCATAGAGGCGAAGACGGCGAACAGGTCTCTGCAGGGCGGGCACGACGATGGTTCGGAACTGGCGGCCGAGACAGCCAGGGGCCACGGCGGAACCCAGGGGGCTGTTCCGCAGGGTCGACAGTGCCGAAATAAATTTGTCGGGGCGGGGGGGGCGCGCGCTGGCTGGTAGGCGAGGAGGAGCTGGGCTGGCTGTGGGGGTAGGGGAGGCGCGGCGACGGTGGCGTGACGAAATACAAGGGCCTGAGGGTCGGGGCGGGAGAGAGCTGGGCTAGCCGGGGGGGGGGGGGGGGGCAAGCGGCGCGGTGCCGGTGCCGTGCTGAAATATCATAGGGGCGCAGGGTGCGCGCTGGCTGGCGAGGAGGAGCTGGGTCGGCTGCGGGGGGGCAGGGGAGGGCGACTAGCGGCGGAGATGAGGAGGGGAGCGGGCGCGGCGCCAGTGCCATACCAAAATGAAGGGGTCGGAGCGGACGGAGCGCGCTGGCTGGCGGGGGGAAGGGACGTAGGCTGGCTACGAGAGGGGGGCGGGCGCGGCGCTGGTGCCGGTCCGGGCGGAAGGGGGCGCGCTGGCTGCTGGGCGAGGCGGAGCTGGGCTGGCCGTGGGGGGGCGGGGGAGGGCGCGGCGCTGGTCCCGTGACGAAATACACGGGTCGGGGCGGAGGGGGCGCGCTGGTTGATGATGTGGGAACAGGAGGTGGGCCAGATTTGGGGGGAGCGGGGGCAGGCGCGGTGCCAGTGCCGTGCCGATATAAGGGGTTCGGGGTGGAGGAGGCGCGCTGGCTTGTTGGGGAAAGAAGGTGGCCTGGCTGCGGAAGGGGGGACCGGGCGAACGAAGGTGCTGGTGCAGTGCCGAAGCGTAATGGTCCGGGCAGGTGGGGCGCGCTGGTTGGCGGGGGGGGAAAGTGGTGGGCTGGCTGCGGAGGTGGGAGAAGGCGGGCACGGCGCCGGTGCCACGCCGAAAAAAACAAGTCGGTGAGGAGGGTGCGCGCTGGCTGGCCGGGGAGAAGGAGGCGGGCTGTCCGCAGAATTGGAGAGGGGTGCCGTGCCGAAATAAAGAGAGGGGTTGGGGCGGAGGTGGCGCCCTGGCTGGCGGGGGAGAGGAGGTGGGCTGGCTGCAGAGATGGGGAGGTGGGCGGGCGCGGCGCCAGTGCCGTGCCAGCGCGTTTTGGCTGGCAAGAGATGAAGTTTGTGGGCTGGCTTCTGCGGAGGAATGCGGAGGGGGGACTGTGCCGTGCCGAAAGAAGGGAGTCGGCGCGCAGGGGGCGCGCGGCGCCATTGCCTTCAAGGGGTCGGGGCGGAGGGGGCATGTTGGCTGGCGGGACAGAAGGAGGCTGGTTGCGGATGGGGGCGGGGAGGCCAGCGCGGCGCCGGGGCCGTGCCGAAATATGGGTCGGGGCGGAGGGGGCGCGATGGCTGGTGGGGGAGAGGAGGTGTGCTGGCTGCAGAAGGGGGAGGGCGGGCGAGGCGCGGGTGCCGTGCCGAAATAGCCAGTCGGGGCGGAGGGCCGCGCGCTGGGTGGCGGGGGAGGGGGAGGTGGGCTGGCCGCGGAATGGGGCGAGCGCGGAGCCGGTGCCGTGCCGATATGAAAGACTCGGGGCGGAAGGGGAGCGCTGGCTGGTGGGGACAAGAGGTGGGTTGGCTGCGGAGATGGGGAGGTGGGCGGGCGCGACGCCAGTGTCGTGCTGGAGCGTTTTGGGAGTCGGGGGAGGGGGAGGCGGGCTGGCTGCTGCGGAGGGGGGACGGTGCCGTGCCAAAACAAAGGGGTCAGGGCGGAGAGGGCGCGCTGGCGGCTGTGGAGGAGGGCGGAGGGGAAACTGGTGCCGTGCCGATGAAAAGGGGTCAGGGGCGGAGGGGCCCCGTTGGCTAGAGGGGAAGGGCGGGGTGTGGGGGTAGAGCCCGCGGAGGGGGGGGCGGCAAGGGCGAAGGTGATGCCCAGACCCCCAGGAATGGGCATTTTTGGATACAGGGGGCCGACCCCGCCAGTCCTCCGGAGGCGAAGACCCCAGGTTGAAGCACCACGCGTGCCGTACTCGAAACGTACCTGGTCGAGACACAGGGCAGCCGAGGGCCAAGGGCCCAAGATGGCCTCCGAGTCTGCCCAAGGTGGGCACACGACAGCTCGAAAGGGCCCCGAAGTGGAAAAACATATCACAGGTCATTCCGATGTTTTCAAGTGTTCGCCCTCCCGGCAGGTAGAATGCCCGGGACGGCCCAAGAGTCCCCTGAAATCGCCCCAATAGAGTCCGTAGCTATTTGGGCTCAAGCCATCTTGACCCGAGCCTCTGACTCAGTCGGTAATGTGAGACAAGTCGGTTCAGGGGTCGCAATGGATGTTAGGCGCTTGGCGAGGATCTAGACCAGACAGTTCTCACTTCGAAGCAGCCATCAAGAAATCTGGTAGAACAAAAAAATGGAGAGAAGCGCTGCACCTGTTCTGCGAGGCATCCAACACATGCGTGAAACACAGCTATGGCTGTTACGTTGCCACTATGAGCGCGTGCGCAAAAGGACAGCAGTGGCAGCGAGCCCTGTCGCTGCTCTCCGAGATGTGGGGGTCGAAGTTGGAGCCCACCGTCATCTCCATGGCGGGCAGAAGCGCGTGCCAGAAGGGCAGGCGGTCAAGTGGCTAAAATCGCCCCTGTACAACCCCACCACGTGGTCGAATCGCCCACGAGGGCCCAAGAGGCGCCCCAGAAGGGTTGCACGACGGTCCAAGAGCGCTCCAAGACGGCTTCAGTTGTTCCCGAGACGGGCCTCGAGGCCCCAAAGACTTCAGAAGGTGGCTCCAAGACGGTCCAAGAGGCCCCAAAGACGTTCCGAAAGGGCCCCTAGAGAACGCTGAAGAGGCAAACATCGTCACGTTCCGATGGGGAAACATACAGCATACATGTTCAGCATATCCGCCGTTTGCGTTGTTACACGGTCCAGGACAGGCCACGAGGCCCCCCAAACCCCCCAAAGACGACCCAAGGGACCCCCAAGAGGGCCCCAAGACGGTCGAAGAGGGCCCAAAGACGGCCCAACAAGGGGCCTTCAAACGGCCTGAGAGGGCCCCCAGGCGGCCACAAGAGGGCTCCAAGAGGGCCCGAAGAGGCTCCCAAGTGGGCCCCAGGAAGCCCTCCAGAGAGCCCCAAGACGGTCCAAGGCCTCCAAGGCCCCAAAGACTTCAGAAGGTGGCTCCAAGACGGTCCAAGAGGCCCCAAAGACGCTCCGAGAGGGCCCCGAGAGGACCCCAAAGAGGCACAAATTGTCAGATTGTTATAAGAATCGCACATGTTCAGCATGTCCGCCTTTTGCGTTGTTACACGGTCCAGGACAAGCCAAGAGGTTTTCCAAAACCCCCCAAGAGGGCCCCAAGACGGCCCAAGAAGGCCCAAAGACAGCCCAAGGGGGCCCTCAAACGGCCTGAGAGGGCCCCCAGGCGGCCCCAAGAGGGCCCGAAGAGACTCCCAAGAGGGCCTCAGGAAGCCTTCCAGAGAGCCCCAAGACGGTCCAAGGCCTCCAAGACGCCCCAAAGACCTCAGAAGGTGGCTCCAAGACGGTCCAAGAGGCCCCAAAGACGCTCCGAGAAGGCCCCGAGAGGACCCCAAAGAGACACGAATCGTCAGATTGTTTTAAGGAAACGTACATGTTCAGCAGATCCGCTTTTTGCGTTGTTACACGGTCCAGGACAAGCCAAGAGACCCTCCAAAACCCCCCGAGACGACCCGAGCGGCCCCCAAGAGGGCCCCAACGGTCCAAGAGGGCCCAAAGACGGCCCAAGGGGGCCCTCAAACGGCTTGAGAGGGCTCCAAGACGGCCCCACAAGGGCTCCAAGAGGGCCCGACGAGGCTCCCAAGAGGGCCCCAGGAAGCCTTCCAGAGAGCCCCAAGACGGTCCAAGGCCTCCAAGACGCCCCGTGACGGCCCAAACGGGCCCCAAGACGGCCCCAAGACGGCCCCAGAACGGCCCGAAAGGGCCCCAAAAAGTCCCCCAGAAGGATCATTGAGAAGGCGCACAGACACCAAATAAATGAGCGATCGGTACATTGAAAAGCTCTTCAATCCAAGAGCGAGCGGTGGCACAACAAGCTGTTCAACCCGAGGCTCCCGAGAGCGAGCCGTAATGCTAATTTTTCTGAAAGCCACAGCTTCCAATAACGAGCGGTGACGTAACAAGCCCTTTACACCAAGGCTCCCAAGAGCGAAGAGCGCCATGAGCCATCTCGGGCAAGTTCCTGAAGCAGTCTTTCCGTTTCCGTAACGGCGCGGGTCTTCCCGTTTGCCATGGATTTTTGGCTGGCCCATTCACAGCCCTAAGAGGAACACAGGGCCCCTCCATGGTTGCAAGACCGCTCCAGACCGACACAGGACGGCCGAACAGGCCCCCGAGACAGCCTATGAGGAGCCCAAGAGGGCTCCAAGAGCGGACCAGTACGGCCCAAGACGGCCCCAAGGCATCCCGAGAGTCGCCCAACGTCATCGGCCTTACGTGGGAGACGAAGGTCTTGCGACAGGGGGGTACGGCCAGGGCGTACCGTCCTTCTGGTGTTTTTTTCCGCGCCGCAAGGTGCCACAAGACCCCTTACGGCCGGAAAAACTATCCCGTCTTCGAAGGTTTCTGGGGCGTACTTTCTTCCAATCGTCGTCCTCGTCGTCTTCGTCGTCGTCCTCGTCGTCGTCCTCGTCCTCGTCGTCGTCGTCGTCCTCCTCGTCCTCGTCCTCGTCGTCGTAGTCAAAATCGTGCCGGCCGGCTCGGGCGCGCTCCTGGGCGGCCCCAGGGACGCCCCAGGACGCCTCTGAAGGGCCGCAGGGGGTCCCCGAGACGGCCATCACAACAGAACCAGGCACCCCCACCCCCACAGACGCACGGGTGGTCTGAGGATGACACCAAGGGTGCTTTTCCCAACCCTCCTTGGTTGGGCATTCGCTTTGAAAAGAGCACTGCGGTCGCGTCTCCTCCTCCTCCCGCCTCCCGCCTCCTGCCTCCCGCATCCCGCCTCCCGCCCCCCTCCTTATTGTCTCCTCTTGCCTTGCCTGGGGGGCTGCGATCTGCGAAACTGTCGCCACTTTCGAGGGCTGCTGGTGGGTCCAGCGGGGTGAGGCACCGCGCGGATCTGAGCGGGACCTCCCCGTCCCTGGGGGGTGCGATCTGCGGAACTGTCGCCACGTTCGAGGGCTGCTGGTGGGTCCAGCGGAGTGAGGCACCGCGCGGATCCGAGCGGGACCTCCTTGTCCCTGGGGGGCTGCGATCTGCGGAACTGTCGCCATTTTCGAGGGCTGCTGGTGGGTCCAGCGGAGTGAGGCACCGCGCGGATCTGAGCGGGACCTCGCCGTCCTTGGGGGGCTGCGATTTGCGGAACTGTCGCCACTTTCGAGGGCTGCTGGTGGGTCCAGCGGAGTGAGGCACCGCGCGGATATGAGCGGGACCTCCCCGTCCTCGGGGAGTTGCGATCTGCGAAACCGTCGCCACGTTCGAGGATTGCTGGTTGGTCCAGCTGAGTGAGGCACCGCGCGGATCTGAGCGGGACCTCGCCGCCCCTAGGGGGGCTGCGATTTGCGGAACTGTCGCCACTTTCGAGGGCTGCTGGTGGGTCCGGCGGGGTGAGGCACCGCGCGGATCTGAGCGGGACCTCCCCGTCCTTGGGGGGCTGCGATCTGCGAAACCGTCGCCACGTTCGAGGATTGCTGGTTGGTCCAGCTGAGTGAGGCACCGCGCGGATCTGAGCGGGACCTCGCCGCCCCTAGGGGGGCTGCGATTTGCGGAACTGTCGCCACTTTCGAGGGCTGCTGGTGGGTCCGGCGGGGTGAGGCACCGCGCGGATCTGAGCGGGACCTCCCCGTCCTTGGGGGGCTGCGATCTGCGAAACCGTCGCCACGTTCGAGGATTGCTGGTTGATCCAGCTGAGTGAGGCACCGCGCGGATCTGAGCGGGACCTCCCCGTCCTTGGGGGGCTGCAATCTGCGAAATTGTCGCCACTTTCGAGGGCTGCTGGTGGGTCCAGCGGAGTGAGGCACCGCGCGTATCTGAGCGGGACCTCCCCGTCCCTGGGGGGCTGCAATCTGCGAAATTGTCGCCATGTTCGAGGGCTGCTGGTGGGTCCAGCGGAGTGATGCACCGCGCGGATCTGAGCGGGACCTCCCCGTCTTTGGGGGGCTGCGATCTGCGGAATTGTCGCCACTTTCGAGGGCTGCTGGTTCGCTTTGTTACTCATCGTGTTTCCCTTGATTGGGGACCTGCGAGCCTTCCGAATGCCGCTCGCAGAAGTATATGCGTCCATGTCACGTCGCCGCCTTCTCGTCAAATCTCCCAAGTTACTCCTGCCCCGCATTGCGCACGGATTGGGTACGTCGCCAGGGTAATTTTCTGATGACGTCGCTGCAATGGTACCACTCACGCCCGCGTGACATAGGCGCGCGGCTGAACGCGGGCGTCGCGGAATGTCGGGGCTGATAGCGGTTTGTTACGCAGCGTTTTGGGTGGGGGTTGTGTTGGTGAAGGTGGTCGTGTTTGGGTGAGGTCGTGCTGGGGGGTGGTCTTGCTGAGGGTGGTCGTGCTCGGGAGTGGTCGTGCTGGGGGGGGTGGTCGTGCTGGGTGGTTGTCGTGCTCGGAAGTTTTCGAGCTGGGTGGAGGTCGTGCTGGGGGGTGGTCGTGCTGGGTGATGGCTGTGCTGGGGGGTGGTCGTGCTGGGGGGTGGTCGCGCTGGGGTGGTGTGGTCGTGGGGGGGTGGTCGTGCTGGGGGTGGTCCTGCTGGGGGGTGGTCCTGCTGGGCGGGTCTTTCTGGGAGGTGGTCGTGCTGAGGGGTGGTCGTGCTGGGGAGTCGTGCTGGGGGGTTGTGCTGGGGGGCTGGTCGTTCTGGTGGGTGGTCGTGCGGGGGGGTGGTCGCGCTGGGGATGGTAGTGCAGGGGGGGGGTTCGTGCTGGGGGGTGTTCGTTTTGACGGGTGATCGTGCTGGGGGGTGGTCGTGCTGTGTCCTGGTCGTGCCGACGGGTGGTCGTGCTGGTGGGCGCTGTGCCCTTTCACAGATTCGTTCGTTTTGGGAAGGAGGAGGAGGAGGAGGAGGAGGAGGAGGAAAGAGAAGGATGAGGAGGGGGAAAGAGGAGGAGGGAAGGAGGAGGAGGAGGAGGAGGAGGACGAGAGTGGGAGGAGGATAAGGAACGAGAAGGAGGAGGGGGATGCGATGGGGGAAGGAGGAGGAGGAGGAGGAACGAGAAACGGATGCTGTGCAAGCAGGATGCGGGACGTTGGATGCGGGGACTTAGAGGATATGGGTGGCGGGGTGTGGAAGAGGGAAAAAACGATAGGAGGAGGAATTGGCACGAGAGGGGGGGGGATTGACACCGCCTCATTTATGACCCCCCTCCCTCCACTTCATCCCCCCTCCCCGCTGCTCGGCATTCCCGTCCCGCTTCCCACTCATCATCCCCTTCGTACTCACCCCTTCACTTCTAGTCAGCTACAGCGCTGGGATCAGCGCGTGCGAGAAGGGCGGGCAGTGGCAGCCGGCGCTGGCGTTGTTGAGCGAGATGCGGGAGGCGAAGCTGGAGCCCGACGTCATCTCTCCTACATGGCCAGTGGATCCGCGTGCGAGAAGGGGTCACAGGGCCTCGTGTGCACAAAATCGCCCTACGGCGCCACCACGGGGCCGAATCGCTCAGGCCTGTCCCAGAGGCGCTCCAGAGGGGTTGCCAGACCGTCCAAGAGGGCTCCAAGACGGCCTCAGCAGGCCCCGCCACGGCCCACGAGGGCCCGAAGCCTTCCTGGGGGGTGGCTCCACGACGATCCAAGAGGCCGCAAAGACGCCCCAAGAGGGCCCCGAGTGCACGCCAAAGAGGCACAAACCGTCAAATTCCGATGGGAAAGCGTATATTTCCAGCATGCCCGCCTTGTGTGCTCCTCAGCGGCCCAGGACACGCCAAGAGGCCTCCCAAATCGCCCCAAGAAGACGCCAGCGGCCCCTACGAGGGCTCCAAGACGGCCCACAAGAGCCCCAAGACGACGCCAGAGAGCCTTGCAACGGCCTCACAGAACCCCAAGGCGGCCCCAAGGGAGCTCCGATGGGGGCCCCAAGAGGCTTCCAAGATGGCCTCAGGCAGCCTCAAGAGAGCTCCAAGGTGGTCCAAGGCCTCCTGGACGCCCCGTGACGGCCCAAAATGGCCCCAACACGTCCCAAAACGCTCCCAGAGCAGCCCAAAAATGCTTCAGAATGTACAAGATCGCCCCAACAGCGCACTCGTGCTTCATCTTTGGAGGAGTTTAAGTTTATATTGTCCGTTTTAAGGAATTATTGCTCTTTCTACTTTGCACCCCCCCTGCGTGGGCGAGATTCTACCTTAACCGCACAAGCGTGCCTATCAAGCGCCACCACGGGGTCGAATGGCTCAGGCCGGTCCCAGAGGCGCTCCAGAGGGGTTGCCAGACCGTCCAAGAGCGCTCCAAGACGGCCTCAGCGGGCCCCGACACGGCCCACGAGGGCCCGAAGCCTTCCTGGGGGGGGCTCCACGACGATCCAAGAGGCCGCAAAGACGCCCCAAGAGGGCCCCGAGCGCACGCCAAAGAGGCACAAACCGTCAAATTCCGATGGGAAAGCGTATATTTCCAGCATGCCCGCCTTGTGTGCTCCTCAGCGGCCCAGGACACGCCGAGAGGCCTCCCAAATCGCCCCAAGAAGACGCCAGCGGCCCCTACGAGGGCTCCAAGACGGCCCACAAGAGCCCCAAGACGACGCCAGAGAGCCTTGCAACGGCCTCACAGAACCCCAAGGCGGCCCCAAGGGAGCTCCGATGGGGGCCCCAAGAGGCTTCCAAGACGGCCTCAGGCAGCCTCAAGAGAGCTCCAAGGTGGTCCAAGGCCTCCGACGCCCCGTGACGGCCCAGAATGGCCCCAACACGTCCCAAAACGCTCCCAGAGCAGCCCAAAAAAGCTCCTGAAAGGCCCGAAAAAGACCCCCACAAGGACCACCAAGCAGGCCCAGAGACGCCCACTAAAAGAGCGATCGGTGAAGTACAAAGCTCTTCTCACCAAGGCTCCCAAGAGCGTGACGCAGCGTAGAGAGCTCTCCCAGGCACAGCTCCCTAAAGCGAGCGGTGACGTCGGGATACCCTTCCGACCTCTCACACAGGAGAACGCACGCACAGCACGCAAGCACAATAGATTTCCTGGGCTGTCCCCTGGAAGAGGCCGGGGGGACAGCCCGGGAACGGCCCCTGAGGCGCCCAAAACAATTTCAAGAGAAAAGGCCCCCAGGAGGCCGCAAGACGGCCCAAGAGGGCCCCAAGAGGCCCCTAGGAGGCCGCAAGACAGCCAAAGAGCCCCCAACAGGCCCCCAGGAGCTCGAAAAGAAACCCCGAGAGGCCCACTAACCGTTCCCAAGGAGACTGCAGCGCCCCCCATCAGGCTTCGAAGAGGCAGCCGGAAAAAAGCCACCAGATCCCTCCGGGTGACATTTTTCAAGGCCCCAGGTGCTTTCAAAATTGACAAGCGGCGAGACGTACACCACAGACCCACCATAGCCGTCTGTGACGCTCCGAAGGCTGTAGGCGGAGGTGGAGCGGAAGGCGGACGAAGCGAAAGAAGCGGTCCAAGAGGGCCTCCGAGACGGCCCAAGACCGCTCGAAGACGCTCCAGACGAGCCGCGGCAAACGAAATCATTGATTATTCGATGGTTTCTGAAAGATTTCCACTTTCTCGCCATTTCGAGCGAAGACAGGCCCAACCCGGCCTTTTCGAGCCAAGACTGGCCCAAGATGACGTGGACGAAGTCCACGGGTTTGCCCTGGTCAGCTACAGCGCTGGGATCAGCGCGTGCGAGAAGGGCGAACAGTGGCAGCGGGCGCTGGCGCTGCTGAGCGAGATGCGGGAGGCGAAGCTGGATCCCGACGTCTTCAGCTACAACGCTGGGATCAGCGCGTGCAGGAAAGGCGAGCAGTGGCAGCCGGCGCTGGCGCTGCTGAGCGAGATGCTAAAAGTGAAGCTGGAGCCCGACGTCAGCTATCCTACAATGCAGCGTTCACGGCTCCCTGAATTGGCGAGCAGTGGCAGCGAACCGGCCCCCTCCAGGCCGCTCCCAGCGGGCCCTGGGGCGCTTCGGGCCGCCCAGGCGGCCCCAGGGGTCGCCGCCGAGCCTTCCGAGCGGCCCCGAGCGCGCAGCCTACGGTCGAGAGCCCCAAGACGGCCAAATAGGGCCCCAAGACGGCCCCCAGGAGCCCCAGGACAGGCCAAGACGGACCCCGGAGGGCACAAAAAGGCTCCCAGGAAAGCCCCGACAGGGCCACAGGAGGCCCCCAAGAGAGCCCAAGACGGCCCCCCGAGACAGCCCGAGCCTTCCAAAACGGCCCACGAGGGCCCCAGGACGGCTCCAGAGCGCCCTGCGACGGCCCAAAAAAAGAACCCCAAACGGACCCCATCAAGAGGCTCCAAGTGGGCCACGGGAGGCGCCGCCAAGACGGCCCGAGTCACCCTGCCGATTACGGGGAGGCCGACGCTCGAGCAAGATCTACCTCGCCACCTCCACGCCTGACCTCACGCGCGCCCCGTTCCAGGAGCTCCTGGCGGTGGAGCAGCGGGACATGCTGCTGGCAGCAGACGCAGGCGCACTCCCTCGCCGTCGCCTTCGCCGCCCGCCGCCGCCATCGCCACTGGGTCCCCCTCGAGGTCACGCGGCTTTCCCAAAAGCCCCTGGAGTGTCCCCCAGAGTCTCCCGAGGCATCCAGCAAGCCCCCACGAGAACCGACACGAGCCGCGAGAACCACCCAAGAGGTCCCCAAAAGCTTTCCTGGGGGCCCGCACACAATCATAATCGTAACAGGCATTCGATGGCCAAGCGCTCGTCCGGAAGGAAATCCGAAGAGGCCGCGACAACCGCTGAAGGGTCTCAATCCGTCGTCGCCATCGCCATCGCCGTCGTCGTCGTCGTCGTCGACGTCGTCGTCGTCGTCGTCGCCGTCGTGCCGTCGCCGTCGTCGTCGGGCCGGTCCCAGAGGCGCTCCAGAGGGGTCCCAGACCGTCCAAGAGCGCTCCAAGACGGCCTCAGCGGGTCCCGACACGGCCCACGAGGGCCCGAAGCCTTCCGGGGGGTCTCCACGACGATCCAAGAGGCCGCAAAGACGCCCCAAGAGGGCCCCGAGCGAGCGCACGCCAAAGAGGCACAAATCGTCAAATTCCTTTTGGAGAAACCATATTTTCAGCATGCCCGCCTTGTGTGCCCCTCAGCGGCCCAGGACACGCCAAGAGGCCTCCCAAATCGCCCCGAGAAGACGCCAGCGGCCCTTCAGAGGGCTCCAAGACGGCCCACAAGAGCCCCAAGACGACGCCAGAGAGCCTTGCAACGGCCTCACAGAACCCCAAGACGGCCCCAAGAGAGCTCCGACGGGGGCCCCGAGAGGCTCCAAAGACGGCCTCAGGCAGCCTCAAGAGAGCCCCAAGACGGTCCAAGGCCTCCCGGACGCCCCGTGACGGCCCAAAAAAGCCCCAAAACGTTCCCAAAACGCTCCCAGAGAAACCCAAAAAAGCTCTTGAAAGGCCCGAAAAAACACAAGGACCACCAAGCAGGCCCAGAGACGCCCACTAAAAGAGCGATCGGTGAAGTACAAAGCTCTTCTCACCAAGGCTCCCAAGAGCGAGACGCAGCGTAGAGAGCTCTCCCAGGCACAGCTCCCAAAAGCGAGCGGTGACGTCGGGACACCCTTCCGACTTCTCACACAGGAGCACGCACGCACAGCACGCAAGCACAATAGATTTCCTGGGCTGTCCCCCGCAAGATGCTCGGGGGGACAGCCTGGGAACGGCCCCAGAGGCGCCCAAAAAAACTTCAAGAGAAAAGGCCCCCAGGAGGCCGCAAGAGGGCCCCAAGAGGCCCCTAGGAGGCCGCAAGACGGCCAACGAGGCCCGTTCGAAAAGAAACCCCGAGAGGCCCACTAACAGTTCCCGAGGAGACGGCAGCGCCCGCCATCAGGCTTCGAAGAGGCAACCGGAAAAAGTCACCAGGGCCTTCCGGGTGATTGTTTTCGAGGCCCCAGGCGCTTTCAAAATTGACAGGCGGCGAAACGTACACCGCAGACCCACCATAGCCGTACGTGACGTTCCGAAGGCTATCTAGGCGGAGGTGGAGCGGAAGGCGGACGAAGAGAAGGAAGCAGTCCAAGAGGGCCTCCGAGACGGCCCAAGACCGCTCGAAGACGCTCCAGACGAGCCGCGGCAAACGAAATCATTGATTCTTCTATGGTTTCTGAAAGATTTCCACTTTCTCGCCATTTCGAGCGAAGACAGCCCAAGACGGCCTTTTCGAGCCAAGACTGGCCCAAGACGACGTGGACGAAGTCCAAGGGTTCGCCCTGGTCAGCTACAACGCTGGGATCAGCGCGTGCGAGAAGGGCGAGCAGTGGCAGCGGGCGCTGGCGCTGCTGACCGAGATGGGGGAGGCGAAGCTGGAGCCCAACGTCATCTCTTCTACAATGCCGGGGCGCGCGCTTGCGAGAAGGTCCACTTCTTGAATGGCCCCCGGGCCCTCCAGGGCGCTTTCCGGGTCGTAGATGCTCCAAAAACCGCTGCGGGACGGCTCCGAGAGGCTCCAGGGGGCGCCAAGACGGCTTCAGAGCACCCTCGGGAACCCCAGGACAGCCCCAGAGGCCCCCAAGGCAAGCCAGGAGGCCCCCAAAACGGCATCCAGGAGGGCCTGCAGGAGAGCCCCAAGACACCAAAACTCCAATTCCCTACAGGAAACGCGCGTTTTCACGATGTTCCGTTTTTCGTTTTCACAGCGCCCAAGACGGCCACACAGGCCCCCCAGCTCGCCCCAAGACGCGCCCAGAGGCCCCCAGGAGGGCCCCCAAACGTCCCCACACGGCCCCGGGACGGCTCCAGAGGCCCCCGAGACGGCCCACGACGCACCCAAGACAACCCGAAGAGCGGCCAATGATGGCCCACGGGACGGCTACGAGAGGCTCCAGGGGGCGCCAATCCGGCCTCAGAGCACCCTGGGGAACCCCAGGACAGCCCCAGAGGCCCCCAGGGCAGGACAGGAGACTCCCAAGACGGCCCAGGAGGGCCCCCAGGAGAGCGCCAAGAGGCCAAAATCGTCCCATTCCCGGAGGGAAGCGCACATTTTCACTACTATGTTTTTTGTGCCGTCCTCACAATGTCCAAGACGGCCACACAGGCCCCCCAGCTCGCCCCAAGACACAGCCAGAGGCCCCCAGGAGGGCCCCCAAACGGCCCCACACGGCCCCAGAACGGCTCAAGAGGCGCCCGAGACGGCCCTAGACGCACCCAAGACAGCCCCAAGAGCAGTTAAGCATGGCCCGAGACAGCCCCACCGCCCCGTCTCCAAGACGGTTGTAGAGGCCCCCGCCGCCCCGTCTCCAAGCCTTTCCGTCTGCACAGTCTCCAAGACGGTTTCTGGGCCGTCCGGGACGGCTCCAGAGGCGACCGAGACGGCCCAAGAAACACCCGAGACAGCCCCAAGAGTGCCTAATATCGGCCCAAGGTTGCCCCAAGACGGCCCCAAGATGGTCCCCGAGGCGCCCAAGACGGACCCACATCGCCCCAAGACGGCCCAAGAGGCGTTTAAGGCTGCCCAATAGGGCCCCGAGAGACTCCCAGGAGGACGAAAAGAGACCCCCAAACGGCTCCCAAGAAGGCCTTGGATGCTTATCGGGGAGCGTCGAACTTACAGCGTCGTTTTGGGAGCTTCTTGGACCCTCTGGGAGCCATATCTGCGCCATTCGGGGACGACTTGGGGCGGTGCGCTCGAAAGGTCGATTCGTGTCCTCGCACTGGGCACGTCTTAGGGAGCTCGTGGGCCGTCTGGGAAGCCTCTCCCGTCCAGGAAACCTCTTGGGCCGTCTCGCCGCCCTCTTGCAGGCCGCTCCCACTGGCCCCATTGTCACCACACTGCCAGGTAAAACTATCATTCGGCCCCGGCGAAGAGCAGGTCAACTTCTCACGGCTACTCTCCCCGCAGAAGCTACGATGAACACAGACTGCGGCGTGAGAAACAGTTTCTGTCCACACCATGGCATACCTACATGGGTGTGCTTCCACTGATGCCGCCTCCACCACCGCGTTCCTACCGTCAGGCCTGCCTTGCCTGCATCCATCGCCCATCTTCCCCTCCAGCGGCCACCTCCTCCATCCACGCTGTCCCCTCCAACCTCCCCTTACCCGCGAGGCCCCAGAGACGCTCCACTTCCACGTACACGCCAGGGCGGGCAGATTCCGCGGCCGGAAGGCCGCGGGTCAGCCCCAGTCTCTACTACATTGCAGGGCCCAGTGCGTGCCAGAAGGGCGCAGGCTCCAATGGGTAAACCGCCCCGGGCTGGCCCCAGGCTGGCCCCGGGCCGCCCAGGCAGGCTCCAGGACATGTCGAGAGGGCCCCCAGAAGCCCCCAAGACGGCCCCGGAGAGCCCCGGCACGCTTAAAGATGGGCCCAAGACGCCCGAGATTGGCTCCAGACGGCCCAAGAGGCGTCCAAGACGCCCGAAGAGGCTTCCCAAGAGGCCTCCCAAGAGGGCCCCGAGCGACGGAAATCGTCGATTTGCATTGTGTTTTTCGATGTTTTCGGCCTCCTCGTCAAAACCGCCCCGGGCTGGCCCCGGCCGCCCAGGGCCGCCCAGGCAGGCTCCAGGACATGTCGAGAGGGCCCCCAGAAGCCCCCAAGACGGCCCCGGAGAGCCCCGGCACGCTTAAAGATGGGCCCAAGACGCCCGAGATTGGCCCCAGACGGCCCAAGAGGCGTCCAAGACGCCCGAAGAGGCTTCCCAAGAGGCCTCCCAAGAGGGCCCCGAGCGACGGAAATCGTCGATTTGCATTGTGTTTTTCGATGTTTTCGGCTTCCTCGTCAAAACCGCCCCGGGCGCCCCGGGCTGGCCCCGGGCTGGCCCCGGGCCGCCCAGGCAGGCTCCAGGACATGTCGAGAGGGCCCCCAGAAGCCCCCAAGACGGCCCCGGAGAGCCCCGGCACGCTTAAAGATGGGCCCAAGACGCCCGAGATTGGCCCCAGACGGCCCAAGAGGCGTCCAAGACGCCCGAAGAGGCCTCCCAAGAGGCTTCCCAAGAGGGCCCCGAGCGACGGAAATCGTCGATTTGCATTGTGTTTTTCCATGTTTTCGGCTTCCTCGTCAAAACCGCCCCAGGCTGGCCCCGGGCCGCCCCGGGCCGCCCAGGCAGGCTCCAGGACATGTCGAGAGGGCACCCGGAAGCCCCCAAGACGGCCCCGGAGAGCCCCGGCACGCTTAAAGATGGGCCCAAGACGCCCGAGATTGGCCCCAGACGGCCCAAGAGGCGTCCAAGACGCCCGAAGAGGCCTCCCAAGAGGCCTCCCAAGAGAGCCCCGAGCGACGGAAATCCTCGATTTGCGTTGTGTTTTTCTATATTTTCGGCCTCCTCGTCAAAACCGCCCCGGGCTGGCCCCGGGCCGCCCCGGGCCGCCCAGGCAGGCTCCAGGACATGTCGAGAGGGCCCCCAGAAGCCCCCAAGACGCCCCGGAGAGCCCCGGCACGCTTAAAGATGGGCCCAAGACGCCCGAGATTGGCCCCAGACGGCCCAAGAGGCGTCCAAGACGCCCGAAGAGGCTTCCCAAGAGGCCTCCCAAGAGGGCCCCGAGCGACGGAAATCGTCGATTTGCATTGTGTTTTTCTATGTTTTCGGCCTCCTCGTCAAAACCGCCCCGGGCTGGCCCCGGGCCGCCCAGGCTCCAGGACATGTCGAGAGGGCCCCCAGAAGCCCCCAAGACGGCCCCGGAGAGCCCCGGCACGCTTAAAGATGGGCCCAAGACGCCCGAGATTGGCCCCAGACGGCCCAAGAGGCGTCCAAGACGCCCGAAGAGGCCTCCCAAGAGGGCCCCGAGCGACGGAAATCGTCGATTTGCATTGTGTTTTTCGATGTTTTCGGCCTCCTCGTCAAAACCGCCCCGGGCTGGCCCCGGGCTGGCCCCGGGCCGCCCAGGCAGGCTCCAGGACATGTCGAAAGGGCCCCCAAGACGGCCCCGGAGAGCTCCGGCACGCTTAAAGATGGGCCCAAGACGCCCGAGATTGGCCCCAGACGGCCCAAGAGGCGTCCAAGACGCCCGAAGAGGCTTCCCAAGAGGCGCCCCAAGAGGGCCCCAGCGGCGGAAATCGTCGATTTGCATTGTGTTTTTCTATGTTTTCGGCCTCCTCGTCGAAACCGCCCCGGGCTGGCCCCGGGCCGCCCCGGGCCCCCAGAGAGCCCCGGCACGCTTAAAGATGGGCCCAAGACGCCCGAGATTGGCCCCAGACGGCCCAAGAGGCGTCCAAGACGCCCGAAGAGGCCTCCCAAGAGGGCCCCGAGCGACGGAAATCGTCGATTTGCATTGTGTTTTTCGATGTTTTCGGCCTCCTCGTCAAAACCGCCCCGGGCTGGCCCCGGGCCGCCCCGGGCCGCCCAGGCAGGCTCCAGGACATGTCGAGAGGGCCCCCAGAAGCCCCCGGCCCCAGAGAGCCCCGGCACGCTTAAAGATGGGCCCAGGACGCCTGAGATTGGCCCCAGACGGCCCAAGAGGCGTCCAAGACGCCCGAAGAGGCCTCCCAAGAGGCCTCCCAAGAGGGCCCCGAGCGACGGAAATCGTCGATTTGCATTGTGTTTTTCTATGTTTTCGGCCTCCTCGTCAAAACCGCCCCGGGCTGGCCGGCAGGCTCCAGGACATGTCGAGAGGGCCCCCAGAAGCCCCCAAGACGGCCCCGCAGAGCCCCGGCACGCTTAAAGATGAGCCCAAGACGCCCGAGATTGGCCCCAGACGGCCCAAGAGGCGTCCAAGACGCCCGAAGAAGCCTCCCAAGAGGCCCCACAAGAGGGCCCCGAGCGACGGAAATCGTCGATTTGCATTGTGTTTTTCGATGTTTCCCGCCTCCTCGTCAAAACCGCCCCGGGCTGGCCCCAGGCCGCCCCGGGCCGCCCAGGCAGGCTCCAGGACATGTCGAGAGGGCCCCCAGAAGCCCCCAAGACGGCCCCGGAGAGCCCTGGCACGCTTAAAGATGGACCCAAGACGCCCGAGATTGGCCCCAGACGGCCCAAGAGGCGTCCAAGACGCCCGAAGAGGCCTCCCAAGAGGCCCCCCAAGAGGGCCCCGAGCGACGGAAATCGTCGATTTGCATTGTGTTTTTCGATGTTTTCGGCCTCCTCGTCAAAACAGCCCCCAAGACGGCCCCGGGCCGCCCCGGGCCGCCCAGGCAGGCTCCAGGACATGTCGAGAGGGCCCCCAGAAGCCCCCAGGACGGCCCCAGAGAGCCCCGGCACGCTTAAAGATGGGCCCAAGACGCCCGAGATTGGCCCCAGACGGCCCAAGAGGCGTCCAAGACGCCCGAAGAGGCGCCCCAAGAGGCCCCCCAAGAGGGCCCCGAGCGACGGAAATCGTCGATTTGCATTGTGTTTTTCGATGTTTTCGGCCTCCTCGTCAAAACCGCCCCGGGCTGGCCCCGGGCCGCCCCGGGCCGCCCAGGCAGGCTCCAGGACATGTCGAGAGGGCCCCCAGAAGCCCCCAAGACGGCCCCGGAGAGCCCCGGCACGCTTAGAGATGGGCCCAAGACGCCCGAGATTCGCCCCAGACGGCCCAAGAGGCGTCCAAGACGCCCGAAGAGGCCTCCCAAGAGGCCTCCCAAGAAGGCCCCGAGCGACGGAAATCGTCGATTTGCATTGTGTTTTTCGATGTTTTCCGCCTCCTCGTCAAAACCGCCCCGGGCTGGCCCCAGGCCGCCCCGGGCCGCCCAGGCAGGCTCCAGGACATGTCGAGAGGGCCCCCCGAAAAGCCCCCAAGACGGCCCCGGAAAGCCCCGGCACGCTTAAAGATGGGCCCAAGACGCCCGAGATTGGCCCCAGACGGCCCAAGAGGCGTCCAAGACGCCCGAAGAGGCCCCCCAAGAGGCGCCCCAAGAGGGCCCCGAGCGACGGAAATCGTCGATTTGCATAGAGCCCCGGCACGCTTAAAGATGGGCCCAAAACGCCTGAGATTGGCCCCAGACGGCCCAAGAGGCGTCCAAGATGCCCGAAGAGGCCCCCCAAGAGGGCCCCGAGCGACGGAAATCGTCGATTTGCATTGTGTGTTTTCGATGTTTTCGGCCTCCTCGTCAAAACCGCCCCGGGCTGGCCCCGGGCCGCCCCGGGCCGCCCAGGCAGGCTCCAGGACATGTCGAGAGGGCCCCCAGAAGCCCCCAAGACGGCCCCGGAGAGCCCCGGCACGCTTAAAGATGGGCCCAAGACGCCCGAGATTCGCCCCAGACGGCCCAAGAGGCGTCCAAGACGCCCGAAGAGGCCTCCCAAGAGGCCTCCCAAGAGGGCCCCGAGCAACAGAAATCGTTGATTTCTATAGTGTTTTTCTATGTTTTCGGCCTCCTCGCCTCTTCGGCTTCCCGACGCTCCGAGACGGCCCAAGAAGTCCCCCCGACAGCTCCAAGACAGCCGAAGAGGACCCCAAGAGAGCCCCAAGACGGGCCAGGAGGGCCCCAAGACGGTCCCAAGACGCCCCAGGACGGCCCCAGGACGGCCCAGGAGGCGCCCAAGACGGCCCAAGAGGCACCCAAGACGGCCCCAGGAGCGGCCCAAGACGGCCCAAGACAGCCCAAGAGGCGCCGAGGCGGGCCTCAGACGGCCCCAAGACGGCCCAAGAGGCACTCAAGACGGCCCGAGAGGGCCCTAAGAGCCCCCCCGGGAGGCCCAAAAGAAGTCCGAAGAGGCTCCGAAACGGCCCCCACGAAGCCTTCAGTGGCTTCAGAATTCCCTCCAGGAGCAGGGGAGCGGACGAGAGGCGACAGGCATATCGCAACCAAAAACGCCCCAAGAGATCCCCAAACGGCCCCCACGAAGCCCTAAGTGGCCTCAGAATTGCTTCCAGGAAGGGGGGAGCGGACGAGAGGCGACCGGCATATCGAAGACAAAAGAACAATGTTGGACGCTCCGAGGGCCTTCGATGTTTCTCTGCTGGGGAGAGTCGTCGTAGGATCGACGATTGCCGACCGAGGGCATGGAGGATCCAGCGAAAGAGGGGAAGAAGGTGGAAGAGGAGGAGGAGGAGGAGGAGGCGGAGGAGGAGGAGGGGGAGGAAGCAGCAGGACCTCCGAGCAGCAGCAGCAGCTGAGGAACACAGGAGAGCAGGAGGTCCTGGAGGGTGTGGAGAGCGCCTTCAACTGGCCATCGTGGTCAAGGACGCGAACTGCGTCGACACGTGCCTCACCGCACGCAGGCCTGCAGCCGCACCCCCCCGCGCTTGCCCAGAGACCCTTCGCCACGTCGAGCTGATGTCGTGGACGGAGTTCACAGGTCTGCCCTAGTCAGCTACAGTGCTGGGATCAGCGCGTGCGAGAAAGGTCAGCAGTGGCACCCAGCCCTGTCGCTGCTCAGCCAGATGGTCGAGACGAAAGTAGAGCCCGATACCATCAGCTACAACGCTGGTTTACAGCGGCTCCGAGCCGCTGAATGGGGGCGCCCCGACGCCCCATGACGTCTCCGAGACGCTCCAGAGGCCGCCCCGACGACCCCTAGACGGCTCCGAGCCGCGCCAGAGGCCAGCCACCCGGACGACCCCAAGGGGCGCTCCGAGCCGCTCAAGAGGCCGTTCCGACGGCCCCAAGGGCCCCCAGGGTAGGCCAGGAGCCTCCGAAGACGGCTTTCGAGGATTCCCCAGGACAGCCCCGAGACACGAAAATCGTCCCATTCATTCCGGGAAACTGACATTTTTGGCATTCTCGTGCTTTCCGTCTCCGACGCGTCGACGACGGCCACAGAGCCCCCCAAGATCGCCCGAAGATGCTCTGGCCCCAAGACGGGCCCGGGACGGCTCAAGACGTGGTCGTTTTCATCACAGTTTCGTCGTCATGGTTTTTCTGGATCCAGTGCCCAGGAACCGTTTTCGAGCCCTAGGGCCGCCAGAACCGAATCACAAAGGCGAACCGCGGGATCATCCCGCAGGGGCGCCGCGCGCCCGAGGGACTTCCCTGCAGGCATTCCGTCTCTCGCCGCCGCCGCCGTCAGCGTCCCAGTCGGGCGGCGCCGGCAGGCGCCACAGAGCGTGTTGGTGCGGCTCGGGGCGTTGCTGCTGCAGGGGCTGACCGCCATGTGGCTAGCCTCGCGGCAGCCGCTCCCCCGAGAACATTCCCGGCCAGAGGTCGTGGACGGAGTCCACGGGTCGGCCCCAGTCAGCTACAGCGCTGGGATCAGCGCGTGTGAGAAAGGTCAGCAGTGGCAGCTGGCCCTGTGGCTGCTCAGCCAGATGGTCGAGGCGAAGTTGGAGCCCGACGCCATCCGTGCTCCGATTCTGGGCGAGGAGCGTGCGAGCAGTAGAAGCAGAGGCCCCGCGGGCAGCCCGGAGAGCCTCCGGGGCGCTCTTCGACGGCCCCAGGAGGCCCCCGGAGCCCTCGCCGACGGCTCCAGGACCCCCAGATCGCCCCAAGACGGCCTCACGCCCAAGAGGGCCGAAGCCGACCCGACCGGAGCCCCATGAAAGCATAAAGAGGCCTCCGAGACGGCCCCCGAGGACCGCGTGGACGGCGCCAAGGGACAATGCTGGTGCATTCTCCGAAAGTTTCGAGGGTTTTCTTGTTCCCACCATTTCGGGTCTACAACGGCCCAGGATGGCCCCAGAGGCTTCCCAGATCGCCACTGCACGGTCCAAGAGGGCCCCAGGAGGGCCCCCAGATGGCCCAAGATAGCCCGTAGACTGCCCAAGAGGGCCCCAAGACAGCCCCAAGAGAGTTTCAAGTGACCCCCAAGTCAGCCCCAACCGGGCCCCAGATCCCGCCCGAGCGGGCCCAAAGAACTTCCGAAACTTCCCGAGACCCCCAAGATGGCCCCAAGACGCCCCAAGAAGGGCCCCAGATGCCGCCCAACAGGTCCGACAGCGACCTCCGAGACGGCCCGAGACCCCCAAGATGACCCCAAGACCGCCTTGCGCGGCCCCCAACCGAGGCCCGCAAACATGGCCCCCTCACCCTGACTGTGCCTGAAAACCTTTTTATGGTTTTGCTAATCGCGCCCAGGCCCAGCTCGATTAGCAAAAACCCAGTCCTTTTCAGGCTTCCAGGTCAGTGCCCCCGGAGCTCCCCGACTGCTTTCCGGGTTGGCCCCCAGGCGTGGCACCTGAAACGTCGGCCCCACACGTGGCCCCCAAACGGAACCCCCAAAGGCGACCCCCACACAAAGCCTCCGAAGGTCGCCCCTACCGCCCGAGTAAGCGTGGCCCCTGAACGTCACCCCCACGCGTAGCCCCCAGGCGCCCCCAAACGTGGCCCCACACACACACAGCCCCCAACCATTGCCTTCAAACGTGACCGTCACAAGTGCCTCCGAAGGTCACCCCTACCGCCCCAGGGACGCCCGACCTGTTCAACTTCGACGAGCTGGTCACCTATGGTGTGCGAGTCCCAGGCTCAGCACGCCGTGGATTTTATCCACAGGTTCACACTAGTCATCATCTACAGCGCTGGGATCAGCGCGTGCGAGAAGGGCGAACAGTGGCAGCGGGCGCTGGTGCTGCTGAGCGAGATGTTGGCGGCGAAGCTGGAGCCCAACGTCATCAGCTACAGTGCTGGGATCAGCGCTTGCGAGAAAGGTCAGCAGTGGCAGCCGGCCCTGTCGCTGCTCAGCCAGATGGTCGAGACGAAATTGGAGCCCAACACCATCTCTACCAGAATGCAGCGTTCACCGCTCGCCAAATTGGCGAGCAGTGGCCGTGGACCAGCCCCCTACGGCGGCCACCAGCGCGGCCCCGGGGCCCCGGCGCGCTTCCAAGATGGCTGTAGAGCGTTCCGAGCCGACCCCGCAGGCCCCCGAGAGGGCCCGAAGACAGCTGAAGACGGTCCAAGAGGGCCTCTGAGACGGGCCCCAAGCGCTCGAAGACGCCCAAGATAGCCGCTGGGCGGCCCAAGAGGCCTCCAAAATGCTCCAAGTGGGCTCGAGAGAGAGATCTCAGAGCCCCCGGAGAAACCCGAACAAGGAAAAATCCTCCCAATCCCAAGGAAAATCGCACACTTCGGGAGTTCCCGTGCTTTTCATCTTCGAAGCGTCCAAGACGGCCACACAGGCGCTCAAGATCGCCCCAAGACTTCTCAGGAGGCTGCCAGGAGGGCCCCAAGACGGCTCAAGACTGTGCCAGGACAGTTCCTCGGGCGCCCATGGCGGCCCCAAGAGGGGGCCAGGACAGGTTGGGAGCGCTTACGAGGGGCTCCAAGAGGGGGCCAGAAGGGCCCCAAGAGGGCCCCGACTAGGCCCCATGATGCATGTACTTGGGGGCCCCTCTCGCAAGTCCAAGAAGCATTTCAAGTACATACATACGGTTTGGGGCCCTCTTGGGGCCCTGGGGGCGCTCTTGCGGCCCTCTTAAAGCCTTCGAGCCCGTCCAAGACAGGGCTGGGTGCATTCTGCAACAAAAAAGCCTCCCGTGGCAGAATGATGGGCCCGCGCCCGGCGGCGTCCTGGGGCCCCCTCTTGGAGCCCTCTTGGAGGCCCTCTTCGTGCCCCCTGGCACGACGGCCCCAAGACGGTCCCGACACTTCCCCAGAGGCGTCCAAGACGGTCCCAAACGGCCGCGCGGTCGCGCGGCCCATAGTTCGTCAACCCCCCCGCCAGTGGCAGCAAGCACGGGTACACACTGGTCTATATTCTAATGCCGGGGGCCGAGCGTGCCAGAACGCCGCAGGATCAATTGAGGCAAAATCGCCCCGGGCTGGCCCCGGGCCGCCCTGGGCCGCCCAGAGAGGCTCGAAGACACGCCAAGAGAGCCACAAGAGGCCCAAATCGGCCGGACAGGTCTCCAAGGTGCTCCGTGAGACATCCCCAGAAGCTTCCACAGAGAGCCCCGAGCAAGAAAAAGCATTGATTTTCCGTGTTTGTTGCAAGGTTTTTGCCGTTCTCGCCTTGTCGGCTTCCAGACGATCCACGACGGCCCAAGACGTTCCCAAGACGCCTCCAAGACGGCCGAAGAGGCCCCCAAGAGAGCCCCATGACTGGCCCAAAGGGCCTCCAAGTCGGCTCAACGGGGGTCGTGCGTGCCAGAATGCCGCAGGATCAATGAAGTCCAAACCGCCCCGGGCTGGCCCCGCCCAGGGAGGCTCCAAGACACGCCAAGAGGGCCCCAAGAGGCCCAAGTCGGCCCGAGAGGTCTCCAAGGTGCTCCATGACATGAGACCTCCCCAGAAGCTTCCACAGAGAGCCCCGAGCAAGAAAAAACATTGTTTGCCAGGTTTTTGCCGTTCTCGCCTTGTCGGCTTCCAGACGATCCACGACCGCCCAAGACGTCCCAAACACGGCTCCAAGACGGCCGAAGAGGCCCCCAAGAGAGCCCCAAGACGGGCCCAAAGAGCCTCCAAGTCGGCTCAACAGGCCCCCAGGTGGGCCCCAGACGCCCGAGATTGGCCCAAGATTGGCCCAAGCCAGCCCGAGAGGCCTCCAAGGTGCTTCATGAGACGTCCCCAGAACCTTCCCCAGAGGGCCCCGGGGCCCCGGCGCGCTTCCAAGATGGCTTAAGAGCTCTCCGAGCCGACCCCGGAGGCCCCCAAGAGGGCCCGAAAACAGACCAAGAGCCCGAAGACAGACCAAGAGGGCCTCCGAGACAGGCCCGAGCGCTCGAAGACGCCCAAGATAGCCGCCCGACGGCCCAAGAGGCCCCCAAAATGCTCCAAGTGGGCACCACAGAGAGCCCAGGAGAGCCAGGAAAGGGAAAACGCACACTTCGGGAGTTCCCGTGCTTTTCATCTTCGAAGCGTCCAAGACGGCCACACAGGCCCTCAAAATCGTCCCAAGACGTCTCAGGAGGCTGCCAGGACGGCCCCAAGACGGCTCAAGACTGCGCCAGGACAGTTCCTCGGGCGCCCATGATGGCCCCAAGAGGAGGGCAGGACAGGGTGGGAGCGCTCCCGAGGGTCCCCAAGAGAGGGCCAGGAGGGCCCCAAGATGGCCCCGACAAGGCCCCAAGACGCATGTACTTTGGTGCCCATCTCGCAATCCCAAGAAGCATATCAAGTACATGCGGTTTGGGGCCCTCTGGGGGCCCCCTTGGGACGCTCTTGCGGCCCTCTTGAGGCCTTCGGATCCCTCCAAGACAGGGCCCGGCGCATTCTGCCACAGAAAGGCCTCTCGTGGCAGGATGGTGGACCTGCGCCCGGCGACGTCCTGGGGCCCTCTTGGAGCCCTTTTGGACCCAAGACAGCCCCAAAGACGGCCCCAGACGGCCCGAAGACCAAGACGGCCCACGACGGATCCAACACGGCCCCGAAGGCACGCAAGACAGCCCCAAGAGCCAGCAAGACGGTCCAAGACGTCTCCCAGACGGCCCAAGGGGCGCTCAAAACGGCCCAGGACGGTTCCGAGACGACCAACGAGAGCCTACGAGGGCCCCCAGAGGTCCCCTCGAAGCCCAAAAGAAGCTCCA